GAGGCCGACACCCACCCGCATGACACCCACCCGCATCACCCTCGTGGCATTCACAACAACGATCCTTCGGTGACGCTGCTGAGGGTGCGATGCCGCAGGGGCTGCTCGTCGCCCCCTTCCCGTACGAGCTTCACGGCAGCGAGATTAGCCGAGATTAGCCACGGGGGGCCGAGAGGAGCCGAGGGGAGCCGAGAGGAGCCGAGCTGCACGGCAGCGAGATGAGCCGAGATGCGCCGAGGTGCGCCGATTCATCGAGACGGGCCGAGATAGGCGTTGGCGTGGACTACTGCCTCGAGCAGCTCGAGCTGCTGCTGCGGCAGCGGGCGGCGCCCTCCGAGGCGGCCGCGCCGGCAGTAGTCAAGCTATCGACACCACCCGACTGCGCGGCCCGCGCGGACACCCGAAACCTCAAGAGACGAGCCGCCGGCGGCGGCCCCACTCGGAGAGGGGGGGGGGGGGGCGAGAGCGAGGGATTCCTCTTCGGGGGGCGGCGCCTTCTTCTAGGCGCCCTTGACCCAACATAGAGGGCGTTGTGGGCCTAGCTTTTGGTATAATATAGGGAGGGAGGTCGAAGACGCCGGCCTGCGACGGTGTATCATTCACTTTATGCCACCGTTGCATATCCCTGCTGTCAGGTCGCCTGCCTCGTGCTCGAGCCTGTCCTCGGCGAGGGAGGGTACGTCCCCGCGCCGCCCCGCTTTGTCGCGGGCCTGAGGGCGGTGTGCGACGCGCACGGCATCCTGCCCTAGAGGCGGGAAGATCTCCCTCGCGCCCTGGAAGCGGAGTGCGCGTATTCTTGTAGTCCACCCAGCGCTCGAGCTCTGAAGACGCTGCGCGATGCCGCCTTCCCGCCCCGAGGGTGGCGTACCCAGCACGTAGGCATCCTGCTCGTTCTCGACGAGGTTCAGACCGGGTTCGGGCGGACCGGCCGAGACTAGTCGAGACTCGCCGAGATCTTCGCCGAGAGGAGCCGAGAGGAGCCGAGAGGAGCCGAGAGGAGCCGAGAGGAGCCGAGAGGAGCCGAGAGGAGCCGAGAGGAGCCGAGAGGAGCCGAGAGTAGCCGAGATCGCCCCGAGAGTAGCCGAGATCCGGATTCGGGGCAAGCTCTTCCCAAGGACGCGTTTAGGACATGTCCTGCGGCGTGTCTGGCAGGCAAGCTCTTTGCGAGCGAGCGCTTCCTGCCCGAGGCGACGCCGGACGTCCTCGTGATGGCCAAGGGCGCTCGCCTTGACCCGCCGCGGCCGCTCGCGCGCCGTGCGTCAGCGGCGGCTTCACGGCTCCGCCCCCTGTGAACAGGCCTCGCCCACTGGGGCCTCCCTGGCCTGTGGACGGCGTCTCTTCACAGCCCGGAGGCTGTGACCACCAGGCCTCGCCTCCGGCTTCCCGCTCGCGGCCCTCGCCGCCAGCAGCTCGCTCACCGACGCGCAGCCGCCCGGCAGCATGGGCGGGACCTACGCGGGCAACGCCGTGTCGTGCGCGGCGGCTGTGGCGACGCAGCGAGTGATCCGCGAGGAGGGGCCCGTCGGTCCAGATGCGGAAGATCTCCCCCAGATCTCCCCAGATCTCCCCCAGATCTCCCCAGATCTGCCCCAGATCTGCCCCAGATCTCCCCAGATCTCCCCAGACCTCCCCCAGATCTCCCCAGATCTCCCCCAGATCTGCCCCAGATCTCCCCAGATCTCCCCCACGATCTCCCCGCGCCGTCCAACTCGGAGGAGGTGTGAGGGAGATCTGGGGAGATCTGGGGGGGGGTTCCAACTCGGGGGTAGACGCGCGCTCGGCTGCACTCGACAGCTTGCTTGGGTACTCGCTGTGCCGTGCTCGTACTCGCGCGTGTCTCGGCTACGTAGGCTCGTCGAGAATGCCGCGGCGCAGGCGCCACTCGCCAGCCTAGAAGGGGAAGCCGTGTTCATGACCCCAACCCCTTACGCACTCTTCACACAGGGGCTCTCACAGCAGTCCCGTGAAGGTTCACGGGGCCGACTACAGTACAGCGGGGAGGAGTGTTCATGAACCCCAATCCGCGCCTCGAGGGGACACGCACTCCGCTGCATCCGGCCGAGTTGAGCGGTATTCACGGTGTTCGTACCCCTCGGATTCACGCGCTGCTCTGGCTCTGCCTACGCGGCTCAATGCCGTATTCCTCCCGCCCACGTCTTCTCTTCCACCCGGTGGCGCGATGGGCTCCCTCCTGTCAGCGCGCTGTCAGCCCTCCGTAGCATCCGGTGCAAAGGAAAGAGTGGGCTGGTAGTCCTCGCAGGATGCCGGTGTACTCATACCTTATACCGTCTGGGCTCCCCAACATGGGCCCTCAGTCTGCCCGGCGTGTACAGCGCGCCTCTTCACACCGGCCGGCGTGAACAGGGCGCGCGCCTGCGGGCGGCGCTCGGCGAAGTTGCGGCGCGGCGCGGTGAGGGGGTGGTGCGCGACGTGCGGGGCCACGGGTGCATGCTGGGCCTCGAGCTGGCGGCGTCGCAGCCGGCGGGTACTGCCAAGAGGGTCGCGCAGGTGTACTCGCGGCCACTTGATCTGCCACACGCTCCTCTCTCTCTCTCTCTCTCTCTCTCTCTCTCGCTCGCTCGCTCGCTCGCTCGCTCGCTCGCTCGCTCGCTCTCTCTCTCTCTCTCTCTCTCTCTCTCTCTCTCTCTCTCTCTCTCTCTCTCTCTCTCTCTCTGCTCTCTCTCTCTCTCTGCTCTCTCTCTCTGCTCTCTCTCTCTCTCTCTGCTCTCTCTCTCTCTCTCTCTCTCTCTCTCTCTCTCTCTCTCTCTCTCTCTCTCTCTCTCTCTCTCTCTCCCCCCCCCCCTCCCTCTCTCGGTGTAGGAGTTTCTATTCACGGCCAACACGGCGGGGAGCCGCTCCCCACTGCCCACCTCTCTCCCCCGAGGCGTGCGCTGCGCGCGGGCTGCTGCTGCTCAACTGCTCGGTGTACGAGACTTTGCGCTTCATCCCGCCGCTGACCGTCGCACCGGCCGAGGTGGACGAGGCGTGCGAGGTCTTCGACGCGGCGCTGGCGGAGGTGGTGGCTTGAATCGCCAGTGAGAGCACGACGAGAGAGGTGCACGTTCCTTCGTGGAGGAGAGCTGCCGAAAGCATAGGAGATAGGCGTAGAGAGACACACTGCACTGCTGGCCGTCCATGCGGTTGCTTCCCCCAGGATTAGTCTTCTCTGCTTGCGGGAACACCCTCGGGCGGCCGGGTGGGGCTGCGGCTGGAGCTAGCATGGCTCGATAGAGCCGAGACCCCGTGTTGAGGCGGCGCTCCTGTGGGCGGCTTTGGTGGTTGTGCCCCCCGGGACGCGGCCACCCCTGTCTCCGGTAGAGAGGAGACTTGCGGAGATGGGACATCCGCAATAACTCTGAATGATTAGTGATTGCGCAACCGGCGCAACTGATATGTGGCGACAATTGGTGGCACTTTGTCGGCACTGGTGAAACGACACTGTGTGTCGCTGGTCCAACTCTCCGCTCTGAGCGCCTTGTGGCGCGCTGTTTTGTGAGGTGGGAGGAGAGGAGAGGACAAGTGGAGATGGCTCCACGGCGTGTACGACAATGAAGGAGCAGTAACCAACTACACCCTGGGGCAGAGCGACGCCAAGGGCGCCTTCCTACTGCGGTGCCGGTTCAGCGGGGACAAGCAGACAGGCACTCTCCTCTGGAACCATTTTCAAAACGTGATTCCCATCGAGGAGCGTGCGTGTCTGCAAGTCTCCCCGCTGAACTGGCAGCGCGGCGCGAAGGCGCCCTTGGCGTGCTCTGCCCCAAGATGTAGTTGATCACCCCTCGGCTTGGTCGTACGCCGTAGCCCAAGCCAGAAAAGGCGCGTGGCCCTTTAAGGTAAGGTAAGGTAAACGTCTCCACACACACAAAGTGGTGGGGCAAGGGGGGGCGATCTCCACGCCCGGGACACGGGCAGATGAGCAACCTGCACCCCACTCCCTCCCTCCCAGACACAGGACCCACACACAACCCCCACAGCGTGTGGACGACTGCGTGTTCAGAAACACCAAGCAGCGAGGCGAGGGTGAAGGGGTAAGGGGCTGTGTGGGGCAGAATCTTCATCCGGCTTATCTGTGACTACTCCATCTAGCCTGGGGGGTCGCAGGAGGGGGGGGCAGAAGGTAAGATATGGGTGAGGCCAGCTACAGGTCGGACACCCTCCCGTCGTCGGAATACTCCTCGGAGCGGTCGGCGTCCTCGTCGTCGTCCTCGGTCTGCATCGCCTCGCCAGCCGTGAACCTGAACACGGCGTCGGCCGGCGCCGAGGCGCCGGCGGCCGTCATCAGGTGCATGGCCCTTTACGTGCTGAGCATCGAGTATGCGAGCAAGGGCAGCTCTCCGCCCACCTAGAGCGCGCGAAGCGGGAGGTGCGTGAGGAAGAGCAGGTCCAGTGGTCCTGGTACGACTGCTGCCACGGCTGGGCCCCCTCGACCACGGCCTCAGCCTCTCCCCGCGGTCGGCGCCGGGACGGCGGGCGCGTCAAAGTCTTCACCGAGAAAGATGTCCGAGTGCGAGATCCTCCCCATGGCCAATCTTCCCCATGCTGCGAACCCCTCTTCGCCACCTCCATCCAGAGCGGTCAAAAGCCGCGACCAGAATGCCCCATTGTAAAGCACATTGAGAACGAAAGTCGGGCGCGAGCGGCGAGCGAGCGGCAAGTGTGATGTGAGCAGCAGAGGAGCTGCTCTCCAGGCTTCTGGCGCAAAGAGCTGCATGCCCCACCGAAGGCGCTGTCGAGGTTCGCTGAGCGCGACGAAATCGGGGGACACCGTCACCGACGAGCGCGTTCGAGTATTCACTCCGGACAAAGACGGGCACACAGCGGACGGTGCGGGGCGTGTGCCCGTCATAGCGGCGAGGCGCGGGACCATCTGTGGCGAGGTGGGTCGCGTCCCCCGATTTTGTTCAACCCAGCATCCACACCCTTTACTGATTGTACATTGCACGTGTGTTGTGTGGGGCTCTTGATGACGTCTTTCCTGGTATCTCTCATGACACGGCATGGCGCTCTCACCTCTATGTTACAACTTCAACAAGAAACCGACAGCGGCCCTAGCTTCGTGGCGGCAGCGCAGTCCCTTACTTCCCCGCGAGCCTGGCGGCCAGCGCGGACAGGTCGGCCTCGAGTGAGACGAGGTGCCCGGGCCGCGCCTCGTGCTGGCGGGTGCGCCGCAGCAGCAACATCTCGTCCCTCGCCCGGAGCGCCGTCGTCGCGTGGTTGAGCATGCCCGCCAGCTGCCCCCGCTCAGCGCCGATGCGCGAGATGTGGCCTGAGAGCGCCTGCACAGTCGACTCGTACCTCGCCGCCGCTTCGACGCCGCCGCCCGCCGCGCTCAGCGCCGCCTGCTGCCTCTGGATCTGCTTGCAAAGGGTCGAGACTTTCGCCGCGCCCTCGCGCTCCGCGGCGGCGGCTCGCTCCTCGGCCGCCTGCAGAGACTCTCGCAGGCGCGCCACCTCCGCGGCGCTGGGCCGATCGCCAGCGGCGGCTGCTGCTGCGTCCGCGCGCCGCCGCTCGGCGCCCCACATGCGCTCCACCGCCCGGAGCTCGTCGGCGACCAGCCGCAAAGAGAGCTCCTCGTGGCGGCCTCGCGTCCCCGCCTCGTCGCGCAGGACGCAACGCAGCCGCGCGCACTCCGCATCGAGGCCCTCGTTGCGCTCCCGTAGCGCCGCCGCCTGCTCCGCCGCGCCCTTTGAGACGGCGAGCGACTGCTGCACGACCCGCTCGAGGAGCTGCTGCTCCGACGTCGCCTCGGGCCGTCCTGCGACGGGCCCCGCAGCTGTGGCCGCCACGGCGGCGGCGGCGGCCGCCGCCGCCTCGAGCTGCGACAGCCGCGCGCCCTTGGCCTCGAGCTCGCCCCGCAACGCCTCGGCCTGCGAGGCGGCCGCCTCGAGAGTCGACAGCCGCGCGCCCTTGGCTTCGAGCTCGCCCCGCAGCGCCTCGACCTGCGAGGCGGCCGCCTCGAGAGTCGACAGCCGCGCGCCCTTGGCCTCGAGCTCGCCCCGCAACGCCTCGGCCTGCGAAGCGGCCGCCTCGAGAGTCGACAGCCGCGCGCCCTTGGCCTCGAGCTCGCCCCGCAGCGCCTCGACCTGCGAGGCGGCCGCCTCGAGCATCGAGCTCGAGCGCAGCCCCACCTCCTCAAGCCGTGCCTGCAGACCCGCGGCGCGAGAGCGGGCCTCCTCGCCGCGCGCCTCTTCTGCGGCAGCCGTGCGGCGCGCATCGGCGAGGTCGCGCTGCGCCTCGGCGAGGTCGCCCTGCAGGGAGCGGAGGCGGCTGCGCGCCTCGTCCGCCCCCCTCTCCGCGGCGGCGCGCCGCACGCCGGCGTCGCTCGCCGCGCCCAGGAGCCGGGTGCTCTCCTGCGTCACCTCCGAGAGATGAGCAGCCTGAGCCGCCAGCCTCGCCTCCGCCTGTTCGGCTCGCGCTCGGCACGCCGCCGCCGTCTCGCCGGCTGAGCCGAGCTCCGCCTTTGCTCGGTCGAGGCGCCTCTCCAGGTCCGCAGCCAAGGCGCGCTGCCGCTCCAGCTCCGCCTGCATCGCCCCGCCCTCAGCCACCGCCGCGGCAAGCTGCGCGTCGCGCCTCCGCACCTCCTCGGCCAGCGAATCGCGCCTCCTCACCTCCTCCGCCAGCGCGGCCCTTGCCTCGGCGAGCGCCGCCTCCGCCGCCCGCGCCACCTGCGCCGCCTCTCCCGCTCGCGCCGCCTCTCCCGCCCGCGCCGCCTCCGCCGCCCGCGCCGCCTCCGCCGCTCGCTCCGCCTCTGCGGCTCGCGCCGCCTCCGCCGCCCGCGCCTCCGCCTCGCCCTCGCCCGCCTTTGCCGAGCGGGCCGCGCCCTCCTCCTCGGACCGGCGCAGCGCGGCGAGCTCCGCCCGCAGCGCGCTCAGCTCGGCCCCCTCTCTGCGGTCCGCAGCGAGCGCTGCTCGCTCGTCCGCCTGCGTGGCCGCGGCACGCGCAGTCGCCGCCTCGGCCTCGGCCGAGAGCGTCGCCGCCGAGGCGGCCTGCAGCTGTCGGGAGGCGGCCTGCAGCCGGTCGCGGAGCGCCTCCGCCTCCTCGCGCTGCCGTTCGCCACACTCGCGCTCCGCCTGCAGCTCCGCTCGCAAGGCCGCGCGCTCCGCCTCCGCGTCGCAAGCCTCGGCTGGCGCGGCGCCGCCTCTGCGCAGCTCGCGCAGCTCGTCGTCCCGCTCTGCCACGAGCGAGCGCAGCACCTCGACCGACTTCGCCGCCCCCGCCCCCGCCGCCGCTCCGGCGGCGGCCGCCGCAGCCTCGGCCGCCTCGGCCGCCTCGGCAGCCGCCTGCGCCCTCCGCGCGGCGCCCTGCAAGTGCGCGATCTCCGCCCGCGCGCCCGAGAGCTCCGCCTCGAGCCGCGCGCACGCCTTCGACGTCCTCGTGCAAGCCGCCGCGGCCGCCGCCTCGGACTGCACCGCGCCGTCGGCGCACGCGAGCGCCGCCTGCACCTCGGCGGCTGCGGCGGAGTGTTGGGCTCGCAGCGCCTCCGCCTCCCGCTCCGAGTCTGCCAGCGCCGAGGAGAGCAGCCTCGCCTCCCCGCTACGCCTCTCGCGTTGCTGCTCGTGCTCCCAGCGCGCTTCGTCGAGCTCCGAGCGCGCGGCGTCGAGGTCGGCCGCCTGGCGAAGCAGGCGCTCCTCGGTCGCCCGCGCCTCGGCGCGCGCCTGCTCGTCCCGCAAGACGCGCGACGCCTCCGCGGCGTTGAGCTGCTCCCGCAGCGCCGCCGCCTGCTCCGCCGCCTGCGCCGCGGCCTGCTCCGCCGCCTCGCGCGCCTCCTCCTGCGACCGCATCCTGTCGCGCGCGTACGCAGCCTCGCGCCGCGCGTTGTCCAGCTCCCGCCGCGCCACCCCCGCCTCCAGCGCGAGCGCTTCCCGCGCCTCGGCCTCCTCCCGCAACCGCGCGGCCGTCTGTGACGAATCGCGACTGAGCGACTCGTGCAGCGCCTGCTGCGTGGCGAGCTGCAGCTGCACACTCTCCAGCTGCGTGCGCAACACGGCCATCCCCGCCGTGTTGTCCTGCGCGGCCGCGGACGCCTCCAGCCGCGCCTGCGCGGGCGGAGGGCGGAGCGGGAAGTGAGGGGCGGCGCACAGTGAACACATGTATCGCGGGCTCGAAACGGAGGCGGGAGAGGCGGTCGCGCCTCGACGGCCGAGCCGAGCTGCGAGCGGAGCTCCTCCTCCGCCGCCGCGCGCGCCGCGACCTCGCGCCGCAAGCTCGCAAGCTCCTCCGGCGCCGTGGAAGCTGCTCCTCCGGTGCCCCGCTCCGCCTCGGAGGCGACGGCACGGCCCTCGTCGCCGCCAAGCCGACGGCGCAGCGCCTCCGCCTCGGACCGCAGGGCGGCGAGCTCCGCGGCCTCCGCCCTGGACAGTCCTGCGGGAGGCTGGCGGTGCGCAGCTGCGGCGGCGTCGGCTGGCCCCGGCGTCCACCCCGCCGCCTCGGCGGCTCGCGCCACGGCCCAGACGCCGCCGACGGGCGCCGCAGCCGCCGAGCCAGGAGCCACGCGCGTGGGCGGCGTCGGGGCGGCGGCGGCCGGAGGAGAGGCGGCCGCGCCGTCGAGCATGCGGAGTGCGGGCAGGCGCTCGCGGCACTCTGCGCGGTAGGACCTCTCTGGCAGCAGGTTGCCGCGCAGCCGCAGCTCGCGCAGCTGGACGAGGTTCCAGAGCGGCGCGAGAGCGTCGAGCGAGCCGATACAGTTGCACTCGAGGTCGAGCGAGCGGAGCCGCGCGAGGCCAGACAGCGGCGTGATGGACGTGAGCCGGTTGGAGCGCAGGTAGAGCACCGTCAGCCCGGAGAGCGGCTGCAGGTCCAGCACAGTTTTGAGCCGGTTGTAGCTCATGTTGAGGAGCTCGAGAGAGACGAGCGCCCGCAGCGGCCTGGCGGACTCGAGGCCGCAGCGGCTGAGGTCGAGGCACGTGAGGGACACGGGCAGTCGCTGGAGCGTCTTGAGGCTGACGGATTTGTTGGAGAGGTCCTGCACGGTGCGCCACTCGTCGTCCGAAGAGGAGGGCCGTGCGTTCTCGCGGCCACGTGCTCGCTGGGCCATGCGGCAGGCTGTGGGTCGGAGCCTGTGGTCGCCCAACGCCCAACGCCCCTGGGTTCCGGCTCCTACCCAGATAGGGGGTCTGTGCCCACTGAGTCGCGCCAAAACGCCCTGCCTACCTACCTATTGCGGGCGCCGACCGCCAGGCTCCGTGCCCCACCTACCTACCTATTCCCAGGCCGCGCAGCGACGCGAAAAAATATCCGTTAGCCCTCTGTGAATAGGCTCCCAGCGCCCGCCGCGCCGGCTTGTACCGCGGGCGCCGCCGCCGCACCCGTCTCGGCTGGCGTCCCGGCCGCAGGCGACTCGTCTGGCATGGCCCCGTTTCGCGGCTAAACGCCGGGGCGCCGTCTCCCGCGCGAGCGAAGCGGTTTTTTTACCCCCACCCCCCGACCCCCCCACACCACCGCCACCTACCTACCTATTGCGGGGCCCTCTGGGGCGGTCAAAACCGGACCTACCTACCTATTGCATAGGGTCCAACGGGTGCCGACAGACCCCCTATCTGGGTAGGAGCCGGAACCCTGGGTTTGGACGCTCCGCAACCCACCTTGAGCACTTGAGCACTGGATAGGGTCGGTTCCGCATGGTACGGGACCCCTCGATGTCGATCGTCTCGCCCACCCTCACTGGTGTGTTCAACCCACCTCGAGACCATACCCCCCCGCCTGCTGACAGACCCAGCCTCCCGCGGAGACCGGGGATGGGCGGTCAGGACCATACCCCCCCACCCTTTGGGCCGCGAGGGTACCATACCCCGGAAAAAGTTGGAACCCTGGGGAAGAGAGGACTGGCGCAAAAAGAATTTTACGGTGAGCGGTCACTCTCACTAGGCACGGGAAGACTGGCGGCGCGCACGCGCCACGCGGCGCACCTTGTGACGGTGCCCTGGCAAAATCGTCCCGATTTCGATGCGCGATTTAGCTAAGTCCCAGAGCCGTTTACGCATGAGCGGGCCCCCTCACCAGCCTAGGGCTCGCGCTTCTGGCCCGAGGTGTCGCCGCTGCCTCCCGCGCCCTCCGGCGCCTGCTGCTACTGCCGGTCGGCCGGTCGGGTCCGCGCGACGGCTCCATCCTCGAGACGTAGCGGTCGCTGAGCGCTTTCTCGACCGCTACGTCTTCCAGTGCACCCACCCACCGCGACCCTCGAACCTGCGCTGCGCGGCGCAGTTGCTGCCGAGCGAGACGCCCCCGCCCGCGCAGGGGCGGCATCACCAGACGCTACCGCATGGCCGAGCAGCGAGCAGTTTGTGCCGCAGTGCCCGTCCGGGCCCTCTTGCAGCTGCCTCTATTGGGCGTAAACCGCGGATATAAGGGTCTATACGGAGGTGGGTGGCCTCTTAGAGGTATGGGAGCCGCTGGCACCGCGCTGGGCGCCGCGGATGCACGTACGAACGAACATTATGAAATCGGGACGATTTTGACCCAAAAATCACAAGGTGGCAGCCGGCACGGGCACAACACAAGTATCAAGTTGAGCAAAATGCAAAAAGAATTTTCAACGCCCAGTGCTGTGCCAAAAAAAGAATGCTGGATTCATGAAACTTATTACACTCAAGGAGCAATCGCAAGAGGAGGCGACACACAGCATGGGTGGGGAATCAAAGCGCCCAAGACATCATCATCGTCCACACATCGAGAGCGGAGTGCGACCCAAGAGGCTCGGCTCGGCGCGCGTCCGGTGGCTGAGTCGAGCGACACCACCGCCACCACCGCCGACCCGGCCAGCTGGTTTTGCGTTCCCGACCGCATCCGCGGGAAGGGGACCTCCCACCTTGCCCGCTGCTCCCCTCGCCCTCCTCTCCCCGGCGCATGCCACCATGCCAGCACGCACACGCACACTCAGATGTCGTCGTAGTAGAACTTCTTCTCGACACGGACGATGCGCGGCTCGGCAGCCGGCGGCAGCTCTCCCTCGGCATCGACCATCATCTTGACGAGGGCGACGGCGGCAGCGGTCTGCTGCGTGAAGGCCTTGACGTCGAGCGGGCACACGCAGCCCGGCCGCTCGTCGGGCGCCACCTGGAGGGGGGGGGGGGGGGGGAGGCGGGCGCCTGTGAACACACCCCAAGGCGCAGCCGTACAGGCGGGTTTGAACCTCCGGGAAGGGGTCAAAGTCGGTCTTGTCAAAGGCTTGCTGGCAGACGTCCGAGACCGCGTTGAAGGCGAGCGAGATTGCGAGGTGCTTGAACTTGCGCAGGCTGTCGTACGTCACCTGCGCAGAGCCGGGCGGAGGGGAGGGGGGCAGGCGGTGACGCGCCGCTCCTGCGCGGCTGGCAGGTGGGTGGAGGGCCAGGGTGGACGGCCAGGCGCCTTGTCGCCCTTGAGGGTCTCCATCACCTCGGAGTACACGTCCTGCAGGTCCTCCAGGTACACCTGCCGGGCGCTGCCCGCGCTCAGCAGGGCGGGCTCTCGGCCGCTTCCTTTCCAGCCGCGCGCGCCTCCAGGAACAGGAAGCGCGTCTTGAGCGACATCTCTGACAGTAGAGTCGGGTTGAGCATCGTCATCTCAAAGAGCTCCTCGTCGCCCTGCGGAGCGGGGCGCGGCGCCGTCGGAGGCCCTCCGGTGTGCGCGCGACCTTGGCGGGCGGCCGGGCACCGTAGGCACGCCGTCCGCCGCGAGCTGGACCTTGCGCACCGGCCTCGTGGGCCACTCTCCGCCCATAAAGGTGGCGATCTCGTGCGCGAGCGCCTTTGGGTCCTTGGACTTCCAGTTCTCGTCGGCCTTTGGCGGGCGAGGGGCGGCGGCGGTGAGGGCGGCGGCGGTGTGGCAAGTGGCGGCGGCAACGAGGCAGCGCTGTGGCTAGGGCAGCACTGCGGCGAGTGTGGTGGTGGCGAGGGGAGAGACGGCGAGGGACGAGAGGGCGTAGCGGCAGGCGGAGCAGAGAGGGCCTCGGGCCCAAGGTCCTCCTCCTTCTTGACGCGACCCATAGCGGAACCGGCGAGTTCAGTGGGTGCGGCCGCTGCACCCCGCCCCTGGAGCTCGCTCAGGGGATCGGCAGAAGAATTTTACCACTCGGCAGAAGGAAAGAATTCAAGAGCGCCTGTACGCATGGCGTTCAAGCGGCAGCGGCACTTCTCTCGCGTCGGCTCCGCCGAGCGCTGCACAGAGACCATCTTCACTGACCACCAACGACAGGTGTGCGACTACGCGCTCGTTCGTCTACGCGGAGAAGAAGAAAAACGGCGAAGGAAGCGCCGTACTCGGTCTCCTTCACCGCCACGCAGAACGGCGACGTCATCGTCCAGCTGCACCCGCACTCGCAGCTCGAGCGCGCTGTGCGCCACGAGCGGCAGGCGCAGGCCACGGAGCCGCCTGCGAGCGCGAGCCCTGCGGCGCCGCCCGCCCCTGCCGCCGCGCCGCCAGCCGCGGAGCCGGCCAGCCCGCCGCGCCTGCGGGCCCGGCCGCCGCCGCGCGCGTGCCGCCGCCGCCCAGCGGCGGCGGAGTGCGCGGCTGCACCTTCACTGTCCCCGACCCGGGCAGGAAGCGCGGGCGGCAGCAGCGCGGCAAGGGCAGCACCAGCGCCGCGGCCGCGCCGATAATGGACCCCGTCTCGTCGACAAGAACGCGCTCTCGGCGCGCGGCGGCGGGCCCCCACTCCAGTCGCGCTCTCCCTCACCGGACTCGCCGCCCGCCAAGCGGGCTTCCTCCGCCGACTCGTCCGGCTACGACACCGATTTACCGGACGAGGTGCAGCAAGAGGCTGTACGCAAGGTCTGCGGCGCGCTCGGCATGAGGGAGCAGTTCGAGGCGGCGATGGCGGCGGGCGAGCTGCTCGAGATGCTCGAGAGCTTGCCGCGAGGGGTGGTCGAGGCCTCCGTTCGGCTGATGCGCGGTTACAACCGCACGGGCGAGTGGCCAGAGCCCATTCTCACCAGCCCTGCCCCGCAGCGCGGCCGCTCGCCAAGCCCCGTCGATGAGTGGTCAGATGGTTAGTGCCCGAGAGCGAGGGGTCCGGGGGAGCACAAACATAGGACGCCCAGCCTTGCCCTCGTGCCGCCGAGTGCATATCCTATGCGAGAGAGATCCCCTGTGCCCTGTGCCCAGCCCTCTCCGCGCGGCGATGCGCCCTCCCCCCTCGCTTTTGCAAAATCCTGCAAAGGTGGGGACGTGTCTGTCCTCGACCCAGCCCTAGCTTGGGATGTCCGTTGTATTTATTTTTACCCATCTCACAGTAGCAGAGGTGTCCGTTTTTATTCTCGGTGAGGTGCTGCGAAGCTGCGAGCTCGGCTGCAGCCAGAGACGAGAGAACGGCCTGCTTGGCACGCAGCTGCGTAATCGTCGGCCCGCGTGCGCGGCTCTTCACGGCTGTGCCGGCGAGTTGGCGTTCACGCGCTGAATCATCATCGTCATGGCCTCTCCGGCGCGCGACAAAGGTACATCCCCAGGACGCGCAGAGGCAGCTGCGAGCCAGCGGAGTGGACGGTAACACACCGCGCCATCGCGCCACCTGTGCTGTGTGTTACCGTCCACTCGGCGGGGTCGCAGCTGCCTCCCCGAGATGTACCTTTTTGCGCAAATGGTCAAATCAAGGTTTTGTACGCGAGCTGTGCCACAGTGAAATGGAACTAGCCTTTGGGCCCTGTGCTGGGCACCCTACGCTTTACCGTGGCTCGTCAGCACTCACTCACGGCAGTCAGAGTCACTCACGCGGCCCCTAGGATGCCGGTCTCCAGTGCTCCCATCCCTCGTTTTACTTTTCAGTTTGCAAAAAAGAAACGGCTCGTGATCATATCGCCGCTTCGTGGGGATCCTCACTGTGGGGCCGCTTCGGCTTGAGCAGCGTCGAAAAGCGGTTCATGACGTAGCGGAAGCCGTCGATGTTGGTCGCCGGCTGGTACCCAAAGTCCTTCTCGGGCGGGCGGGCCGTGCTGCCGGGGCGGAGGTGGCCTGAAAACTCGTGGGCGAGCCCGTCGACCATGCACCACTCGACGAACGCCCCGGCGGCGCAGCCCACGTACCGGCGGCAGTGGCTGGTTGCGCTCTCGTATGTCGGGGTGGTCGAAAGGGCGCACCCCGCCGCCACGGCCCAAGTTGCCATCGTCGGCCCGATGGTCGTGTTGCACACGCCGTCGGCAGCCCCGCAGATCTGCACCACCGAGACAGCACGCGAGGGCCGGCACTCTGTAAAGCCGCCTCCGAGCTCGATGCCGCCCTCGACCGGAGCGATGCCGCGGAATAGGTCCGCGGCATCGCAGCCGAGGCGGTTGGCCATCATCGCGCCGTTCGAGAAGCCCATCGCAAAGAGGTCGTCGTCTGCGCACATGGCCGACTTGAGCCAAGACGCGATGGCTCTCACGAACCCCACGTCGTCGACGCGGCGGTCCGGCGCCGTTCCGCAGCAGCCGCCCGCGTTCCAGCTGCACGGGTTGGACTGGTCGAGGAGCGTGCCGCCGCGGCAGGCCGCGTCGCTGGCGTTGGCCGGACAGCAGTGCGGCGAAGGCTTCTCAGCGGTGCCGAACGGCAAGGCAACGAGCCACTTGTAGCCGCGCTGCAGATACTCAAAGGAACCGGCGGCGGTCGGGTGTCGCTCGTCGTAGTGCTGGTCCTCATTGTAGCGCGCCGTCCCCGTAAGCAGCGAGTAGTAGTACGGGCTGGCAGAGTAGCCGTGCATGGAGATGAGAGCCGGCAGGCCGGCTCCCACATCCACGCCAGCAGGCACGTCGAGCAAAAAGCGGCGCTCGAGCCCGCCGGAGTTGAGGTCCACGAGGTGGGTGCCGGCGCCGAGCGCCGGCGTGCAGCGGCCGGCGGCGGCCAGCGAGAAGAAGAGGTGTGGGAGGAGGAAGAAAGGGACGAATGTTCCACTGGGCTCCATCGCTTGCTGTGCCGCCCTTCCTACAGCCCGACAGCGAGAAAAATTTCCTGCCGCGGACGTGGAGACCCTCGAAATCCCTCGTGTGCTGTGGCGGCCTGTTGGGGACTTGTTGTTGCGCTCTGTGTGCCGTCCAGCGTCCTTCATCCACCAGTCCTAAGCGCTAAGGCGTAGGGGGGGATATGGTGATTTTTGAATGAACGCCTCGCGCAAAACCACCGCTACCATGCCACAGAAGACCCTTGTGGGCTATCCAGAACACCTAAGATCATGCCCTAGCTCTAAAGTGGGCCCGAGATATGCCAGCTAAACCCCGGATTTTTTCCGGCAGGCTCCGCCGCACTGTGATGAGCGTCGGCAGGACCCTTTGAAATCATGAATGGCGGCGTCTGGAGAGGCCCCCGCGGCCGGGGGCGGTAAGTGGGTGATAGGAGGGTGATAAACGACCATAACACCGGCCACCGGACCCCTCCACTCCCCCAAACACAGTCCAAACCGGCCCCGGCGGCCGCCGTGCAGGAGGCCGCCGGGGCGCACCAAACGGCCCCTCGCGACCTCCAGGTGGGCCACCACAGCCCGTCCCGGTGGCACGGGTGCCGCCGCGCACCCGACCGACGCCCCCGGCCCGCCAGCTCCCGCTCTGGGGGGCTTCACACCTCCGCCAGCGAGCCGCAGCGCGCCCCCCTTTCGCGCACCGCGGCCGCACGCCCGAGAAGTGGCCGAAGGGCGACCTACGCGGCACTAAAATCACGACTAGAAGCGCCGCCCGCCAGCAGGCAGCTTGCCCGCCGCGCGCCGCGCGCCGCCGCAGCCCCCGGCCGGCGCTGGAAGGGCTATGCCGGCCGGTAGCCGCCGTCGCGCCGCCCGGCGGCCGCGTGGGCCGCAGCGGTTGGGGCGGCGGCGCCAGGACGCCCCGAGCGGAGCTGTGAAGAGCCTGGGGCGCGGGGTGGGGGTCGGGGAGGGCGACGTGGGCGATGGTGGTGGCGTGGGTGCGCGGGGCCGGCGTGTGGGAGCGCGGGGAGGTCGGTGGTGGTGTGTGGAAGGTGAGGCTAGAACGCAGGAGGCCGGCAGGCAGAGGCGGCGTGGCGGCGCGTCGGCGGCGGTGAGAGCGGAGGGGAGGGCGGTGGGGAGGGCGGTGGGGAGGGCGGTGACGTTGGCGGCGGCGAGGCCAGTCGCGTGGGCGGCGGCGAGGCAGGTGGCGGGGCAGGAGGCGGCCCGGAGGGCGGCAGCGGCGGCGCGGCGGTAGCGGCGCCGGGCGGGAGGGTGGGTCGGCGGCAGCGTTGGCGAGGCGGCGGCGCGGGTGGCAGTGGCGAGGGCGGCGGTGCGGGTGGGCGGGAGGCGGCCGCCAACGGTGGCGGTGGCGGCCGGGCCATCGGCGGCGGGCGGCGCGGCGGTAGGGGCGGCAGCGGGGCAACGCCGCGAGGTGGCAAGGGAGGAGGGGGGGGGGGGGGGGAGGCTCGCCTGCGCCCTCGACCCGCGAGAGCCGGTGCCGTCATGCCCTCGAACGCGACGGGGGGCGCCCTCCTGCCGCAAGCGGCGGCTGGCCGCCACCTCAAAGGAGCCTCTTGCACGCAAAACACCCGCTCGGTGACGCCTGAAGGGGGGGCGGTGCAGGGGGGAGAAGATGAGGGCGTCACCGAGCGTGTGGTGCTGCCGGGAAGTTGGTGGGCGGGGCACGGATGCACCTCAAATACGAGCGAGTAGCGGGAAGACCGCCCGCTACTCCGGCGGGAGAGTGCTCCCCCGCCGCCCCCTGGGTCACCCCGAGTGACCTCGCAGCCCACGCCGTGAGGCGCTGCTGTCAGGGGGAAGGGTGGGGCGCGTGCGAAGCCGCTGGGAAAAGACGGCCAGGAGCCCAGGAGCGGCCGGAGCCGGCGGGCGCCGCCGCCGTCGCCCAGCTGGCCCGCTCTGCACGGCACGTGCGCGCGCGCGCGCCAAAAGCCCGCTCCTGGGTCTCAATGGGGCTGGGGTCGAAGAGGAACACGAGGAGGGCGAAGACGAGCACCTCCGAGGCGCTGGCTTGGTCGTTGCCGGACTCGACGGAACCTCTCGCCCGAGGAGGTGACGGCAGGCAGAAGTTTTTCTCCTGCGTAGGCGCGCGAGCGAGCGTCAGCGCGCCGAGGGCCATTACGTGAGAGAACGTGATCTGTGGCCGCGCGCACCGGGTCGGCCAGGAAGAGCATCGCCGAGGGAAGCGACGAGCGCCCGGGCGGCCCCGGGGAGCGCCGCGTCCGAGCCCCAGGTCTGCCCAAGTACCTATCCACCATCTCTGGACATGTTCAGGCCAAGCTGCCATGGCCGACTCGGGGTACCCCGCGCCACCCGGGCGACTCGATGGCCGCCTCCGCGGCGGCGGCGTCCGGCTGCAGCTCCATCGCCAGGGCCAAGCAGTCAGGGCCCTGAGGCCCCCAAGCAGTGCAAACATCCATAGCTTCCATGCCTCGAGGAGCGATCTACCGGTTGTCACCGTCATCCTAGACGCCGAACGAAAACGCCTCTCAAACGCCTCGAGTGGTCGAGATTCAGTTTGGGTTTGGGGCTTGGAAAATCAATGTTTTAGTGGACCATATCCCCCCCTACTAAGGGTAAGGCGCCACCTGCTTTTTTCTCCTTTTCAGCCCGGCTCCTACGCTACGCCCTCGTACACCACCCTCTCCGTATCCTCGCATTTCGGGTCCTCACGCGCGGCCGCGATCCAGTGCGGCGCCTCCTGTCCCACGCCAGCTCGTATCCGGCTCCACATCCCGAGCGAGTCGTTGGCAAGCCTGCAGATGCGATACGGGGCCGGCTCAGTAGCGTGGGAAGGAGTGTGTGCGCGCACTCCACACCACACACACACACACACACACACACACACACACACACACACACACACACACACACACACACACACACACACACACACACACACACACACACACACACACACAACGCGCACACACACACACACACACACACAACGCGCACCTCGCGCCGATCCTGCTCTTCGCCGACAGCTGCTTGCTGAGCATGCGAGTGATTGTGCCCCAAACCTGTAGGGCAGCGGGGTTGTAGCTGGTTGAGCGTGGGCTGCGCGCAGCGGCGCCGCAGGCACCGTGGCAGAGCACACCAGCGGGCCCGCAATGAAGAAGAGCCAGTCGATGGCGCGCTTTGGCGCAAAGGGCAACGGTGGCAGAGCAGCAAAGTCGATCGCGTAGCGGATCTCAAGCTTTGTGCCACCCCGCACGGGCGTGAAGCGAATCGCAAGCGTCCCGTCGATCGGGACCAGACGCAGCTTCCGCGCCCAAGGCGGCAGCCTGGTCTTTTCGATCTCTGTGTCGGTAGTCGCATCGACGTGAAAGACGCCGTCGTTTGCAAGGCGGTCGATGTCAGCTTGGAGGTCCAAGACGGCACCAATCCGTGGCAGGGGCCAAGGCAGGGCAGCCTCGAGCACGCCAGTGAAGGCACACGCCTCCGCGTCGAGCGCGAGGAAGGCAGAGCGCGGGACCAGAGGGTGCCAGGTCGGCAACAGGTCCACCTCACCAAAGATGCAAGCCATCTCAGCGACCCCGTGAGGGGCGGTGGCCTCGATCCTGCACTCGCAGCCGCCACATCGCCCTTGCGCGCATCGACCTCGAGTGTACACTTGCAGGCCGTATTTGGTCCCCACCCCCGCGGATGACACCAACTTCCAGCCGCTATCGTCGCCGCCCTCCTCGTCCGGGCCACCGCCGGGAGCGAAGCTGTGTCGCGCAGCGTCCTGAGTTGCAGCGATGCTCATGACCTTGCGGCCCGGCCTCCAACTCGCCGCGAGAAGGGCGGCGGAGACCGAGAACAGGAGGAGCAGGGCATCGACGGCAGCTAGCACATGCCACGCTCGCAACTCGAGCTCAAGCTCGACGACGTCCGAGTGCGGCTCCGAGTACGGCCCATCCAGTGCGATGTGGGGAGGATATTCGTAAATCTCTCCGACTCCGACGAATGTGGCGGCCTCCATTGTGTGTAGTGCTGCCAACCTTGAGGCCAACCTTGAGGACTCGTCTGATTTCCTTCTCGGTCCCTCGAATGAGCGCCTTTTTTTTTTATTGGTGTTGTTGCTCATCTGAGATTTTTGTTTGGGTCGAGCAGAGAGAGAGAGAGAGAGAGAGAGAGAGAGAGAGAGAGAGAGAGAGAGAGAGAGAGAGAGAGAGAGAGAGAGAGAGAGAGGAGAGAGAAGAGAGAGAGAGATTTGGATCATTTGTTTTGTAGGTATTTGTTTGAAAACCAACAAGAAATCGCGACTCGCACAGTCTCAGCGATTTGGACTCGGCAGCAGCAGCTTGTCAGCACTCTTCAGCCCGTCTGCCGAAGCTGGGCCTGGCCCTGGGCTTTCCGCGTCTTTCGGCACCGCGTCTTTGTGCTTTCCGCGTCGATGGATGGCGGCACCGACCGGCGCAGACACCACCGGAAGTTCAAAAGGACGAGAGAGGACTTAAAGGAAGCTTCTTCTTTTATAAATAGAGCAGGCATCTCCAGGAGAGATGGGCGACGGCCGACGCACGAACACAGAGGCACAGTGCGCACCCCGCCCCGCTCGCAGGGGGCTGGCAGGGCGTGCATCACACACACAGGGACTGTGTGACTCCTTCCTCGGGTTTCTGGGACTCTTGACGAGATGTGCTAGTCGCTATTCTCCGACGATTCCGACATGACACATGTCTGACGGGCAGTTCGTTCGGGCTCGAGTGAGAGCCGCGGTCGCGGTCGCGAGCGCGCGGGGCCTGGCTAGGGCTGCCGGGCGTGATCTCGCTCGACCCACGCGCCGGAGCGCGAGTAGTGCTTGATCAGCCGGGCCTCGCCGCAGTCTTCCAAATTCTTTTGTATGTTTCAAGAAAGAAAGAAAAGCAGGCAACCAGGTTCTTCTTTCTTTCTCTTTTTGCTCGAAGAATTCTTTTGTACCCTGGTTTGCCTGTGATAGTGCTAGCACGCGCCAGTCCGCACCTGTGTCGAGCCTCTCTGCTGTGAGAGGGAGTTGCTGTCGTTATGCCGGAAGAATTCTTTTGTATCCTGCTTGGTGTCCGCCTGATATGCGTCGGTCCCTCGGCAGTGCACGGCGACTACTGGTGGCGCGCCGCCTCCACACGCGGCACGAGCCCGGCGCCATCTCCATGGACACGGCCGTCCTCGAGTATGCGGTCGACGAGGAGGCAGGAGTCCTCGACATCCAGCACACGCGCACGCCGCCCGAGATGCGCGGGCAGGGCGTGGCCGAGAAGCTGTGCGATGCGGCCTTTGAGCACGCTCGCGGCGCGTCGCTCCGTGTCCTGCCCTCGTGCTCGTATGTGAGCGACCGCTATCTGCCCAAGCACTCCGAGGCGCAGGGCATCGCGGTGAGGTCGGTCGACAGCGCGACGCCGGGCCTCTGCATATGCGTCTCGTGGCTCGGCGTCGCGAGCCTGCGACTCGTCGATGCCAGGCGGCGCAACCCGCTGACTGCGGCTCTCCTCGCCAAGCTCCAGAGCTTTCTGGGCGCGTGCGCTGCCATGGAGGTGACGCACGGCGGGCCGCTGCCAGAGGTGCGCACCCTCCTCCTCGAGAGCACAGGCCCGGTCTTCAGCTCGGGCCACGACTTCAACGACTTCCACGAGGCGCCGGCCGCCGAGCAGCGGCGCGTGCTCGAGATGTGCGCCGACGTCAACGCGCTGCTGGCCGAGGTGCCGCAGGTGAGCGTGGCGGCGGTGAGCGGCGCGTGCGTGGCGGGCGGCGCGCAGCTGGCGGCCTCGTGTGACCTCGTGATCGCGCGCGACGACGCGCGCTTCTGCCTGCCCGGCGTGCGCACGGGCGGCTTCTGCCACACGCCCGCGGTGGCGGTCGGCGCGCGCGTCGCGCCGCGCAAGGCGCTCGAGCTCGCGCTGCTCGCGTCCGACGTCGACGCAGTCGAGGCCGAACGCATCGGCCTCGCCAACTCGGTGGTCCCTTCGGCGGAGTGGGCGAGCGCCGTCGAGCAGACGGTCAACCAGCTGGCGCGCACCTTCAGCAAGTCGGTCGCGGACGGCAAGCGGACCTTTTACCGCCAGGCAGCCGCGCCCGCCCTTCGTGACCGGTACGCTGTCGCCACCGACACGATGGTCGACATGTTCTCGTCCCCAGCCTATCAGGAGAGCATGGCCGCCTTCTTGAGGCGAAAGGAGTGAGCGGAGCGCGGCGCACACCGAACACCGCGTTGGTTTATACTTTATTGCGTAGTGGCTAGTGCGGTGACCGGTGTGCGGAGTGCGCGTACACACGTACACAGCGGGGGCAGGGCGTTAGCAGCTCACGAAAAGCACTATTATAGTCTATTATAGCATACACACTACTCTGGAAAAGAGGGGAACCGTCGTTTTTTGATTCGAAGCTGGGCACAAGCTCGACAGGCGAGCAGCAATATTGTGAGAGTCAGAGATCGGGCCCTCGCCGGGCGCACGTCGCAATGCCCGTGCGCCTCCCCGCACCTCACCTCGAAGTGCGTGCGCGCGGGCCGCGACGACCGGAGCGGCTACCTAGGCGGGCTGCTGGCGCTGCCTCTTCGCAGCCGCGTCGCCCTCTTCCGGCGCCCTCTTGACGAGGTCGTCCGAGTCGGCAGGCGCGGAGATGATGTCGCCGCTGTCCATGGTGATCTGAGGAGGGGCGGGTCGGCGCTGGTCGGCGCTGCGGCGTCGGCTCAGGAGGCGGGCGGGGAGGGTGGCGGGCGCAGACCTGGTAGGGCGCAACCATGCCTGGCAGGGGAGCGGGAGGCGAGGTGAGGCGAGGGCGGCGCTCCGGCGGGCGCTCGCGGGCTGTGGCGTGCTAGCGGCCGACGGGCAGCGTCGCGGGCACGGCCACCGGGGTCCATGTCCTCCGATCGCCACATGAGCTGGGTGATCGTGCCCTTGACGTAGCCGTTTGCGTCGGCGTCTGGGTCGCCCGCCAGGTGGCACATCACCCGGTCGCCCACCTGGAAGCGGAGCGCCTGCAGCTTCTTCTCCAGGTTGGCCGGCGTCGCGAGGCACGCCTCGAAGCGCGCCTTGAGCTCGGCGGCGTCGAGGTTCTTGCCGATGAAGACGAGCTTGCTCTCGCGCGGCTCGTCCTCCTCCCACGGCTCGGTGAAGTCCCCGTTGAAAATCATGTGCACCGCGTGGTAGACGAAGCGCTGCTCCGCGTGTGCGATGTGCAGCACGCCCTTCATCCGGTAGATGTCGGCGCCTTGGGTCTTGAGCATCCCGCCGATCCAGTCCTCGATGGCGGCAAGGTCGAGCGGCGTGCTCTCCTCCGTGAGCGCGACGCTGCTCACCGAAGTGTCGTGCTCGTGCTCGCCGTTCGTGTTGAGGAACTCGGGGTCCATCTCGATGACGCGCTTCAGGTCGAAAGCGCCGATGTCGAGGACCCAGTCGGGCGACACCTCCGCCTTGGTGCAGCGCTGGACGGGCGCCTGCGAGTTGATCGACTTGAGCCGCTTCTCCACCTGCCCGACCGCGATCCGGGGGACGCGTCAGCCGCGCGTCCGCGCGAGCGGTCGGCCGCCGCGCCGCGTCGCCGCGCCCGCTCGAGGTCCGCCTCGCTCACGAGGTCGGTCTTGTTGAGCAGGATGCGGTCCGCGAAGGCGACCTGCTCCACCGCCTCGTTCTCGGCGCCCTCGGGCTTCTCCTCGTCGAGGTGCTGCTCGATGTGCTTTGCGTCCACCAGCGTCACGATCCCGTCCAGCCTGGCGAACGCCTTGACCTGCGCGGCGACGCGGCCCGTGAGCCAAGAGAGCTCCGGTGGCGAGCGCGACGCGGCTGCGCACACGCGGCGCGCCTTATCGTCGACGAAGAAGGTCTGTGCAACAGGCGCCGGGTCCGCCATGCCGGTCCTACGGACGTGCCGCTGAGATGTCGTGGACGCCGCGTGGCACTCGGTCGCGGCCTTTGCCGGGGCACGTCTCAATGATGATGCCGTCGAGCTTGAGCGTGCCGGCCTGGAGTGGCGGCTTGGGTAGTGAGAGGCTTCCCTGGTACCCCGTGTTGCGTGTCAAAAATGTCACTGTGCTGTCGCCGGGGTTGTGCTATGGTGTGAGAGGCGGCAAGAGAGGAGAGAGGTGGCGGTGAGGCCAAGAGAGTCGCCTTGACACGCTTGGCGAGCTTCTCAAGCACGACGATCAGGTCCTGCCGGACCGTGCAGCAGATGCAGCCGTTCATCATCTCAATAATGTCCTCGTCGGCCTGCATCTTGGTGTTCTTCGACAGCAGCTCATCATCCACGCCGACTTCGCCAAACTCATTCTCGATGACGGCAATCTTCTTCCCGTGCGTTGCGGTCAGGATGTGGTTGAGCAGGGTGGTCTTTCCGCTCCCCAAGAAGCCTGTCAGGACCGTCACTGGGACTAGTGGGATGGAGGAATCCGCCATCTTAGTGGGGCGGGAGCATGCACAGAGGGTGCTCGAGAGTTTAGAGAAAACAACCCTCACAGCGCACAGGCTCGACACAGGTGCGAACTGGCGCGTGCTAGTACTATCACCGGCACACCACCGGAGCCGCCTAAGCGACTCCGTTAAGAACGGCAATTCACTTAGCTCCGTGCACAATGCCGCTGTCCCCGCACGCTAGCTCGTTCACCGAAAAGAGTTTTCGAAAGAGAATTTACTGGCGCACGACTGCGGTTGTGTGTGCGGGGCGGCTACTGCACTCCAAGTGCTCCAAGTGCACGACACTGGGCACGGGACTGGCGCGCACTGGCACTAACACAGGTACACCAGAGAAGAGAAAGCGGATACGCAAACAACAAGAATTTTACAACAAACCTCCCTCGCACGACACCACAACGCACTCTCTCACATTACAAGCGATCCCACGGCAGCGACTCTGTCTGAGGGAGGGAAGGGTGTAGAGATAGAGGATGTAGAGTGTACATGTAGAGCGCTGTGAGCTGTATAGAGCTGTAGAGCGCTCTGGAGCGCTGAGAGCTGTAGATAGAGCTCTAGACTACATCCGGGACGAAGCGCCTCCGTTGTAGAGCGATGTATGTAGAGCGCGATTTTGCTGTGTAGAGTTTGTTGTAGAGGCTCTACAGCCAAACCGCCGGGAAGGCAGTGACTCAAAGAGGTCGAGCCGCGCTAATGGGGTGTCTCCGAGCTTACTGGAGCTCTGATGGACGGCCGCCCTGACTATCACTGACACACACAGAGAGTCACTCTTGACGGCACACAACACCCTGTAACTGCGTCATGACCAGCCTGCCATGCGTCGCCGGTGCCGCATGCGTCGCAGTGCTTCTTTAGCAGGCGGTGGACTGTCGGCTGCGAGGACGGTCGCATTTGCGCGAGGCGACGGGAGCATTGCTGCGCGTTGCATGCGCCATGACTCGCGCCAGCGCGTGCGGGAGCTCCTGGCTGAGCGTTGAGTCCAGGCGAGTTGCGCTGGCCACGATCGCTACGCCGAGCCGAGCTGACGCGCCGAGGCGCCGGCCAGTCGCAGCCGTGAGGCATGCCACAGCAGCAGAGGCAGGCCTGCCACCCATTGGGCGGGCAGACAGAAGGCCAGGGCAGCACTGGCAAGTCGTTGTAGAGCGCCTTGAGCACTTGAGCACTGGATAGGGTCGATTCCGCATGGTACGGGACCCCTCAGAGCGCCTCTACATCGCTCTACAACGCAGGCGCTTCGTCACGCGGCGGAGATGTAGAGCTCTACAGCTCTACAGCGCTCTACGTGCTCTACAGCTCTACAGCGCTCGTCTACACTCTCATCCTCTACACCCTCCCTGCGGGGACTACATGATCCGTCCGTTGTACACATTCTACAACTACATACGTCAGATACCTCGTGTCGCGTGTGTGTGGAGAGAAGTTCACCTTTCCTTACAGTACCTATAGCACGTACGCAGCGTACAAATTTTCTTACCAAAAATGTGCACCGGCAAGATCGCCCCGCCCCGTGGGTGGCCTATAGAGTGGGTGGCCGGACACGCCACACACGCGTTGTCCGTGCGAGCGAGGCCGAGGGGAGATGTGGGCGCGCGCCGACCCCGGTCTCCCAGGCGTTCTATGCTTATGGACCACAGTGAGGTGTAGAAGTTCACCCCGCTTCAAACCACAGTTAGACACGCGTGCACGCACATGAAAAATAGTTTGGTTCGCCAGCGGCGAGCGGCCATCACGACAGCTCACCCAGAACTGTGAGCAGACCGTCGCTGACGTGCAACGCTCGGACATCAAAGGGAACGCTCTCACCCACGGCGGGCATTGCGCCATCCGCGAACCCGTTCGATCTGCCCCCGCCCCCGCCCCCGCCCCCGCCGCCGCCGTCCTCCCCGCTGCCGCCTGCCGGGGCGTCGCCCGCCGCAGCGTCTGCTGCGGCGGTGCGGTGCGGTATAGTCACATTGACGAGTCCGTGGGCGAGCAGCGCGAGGTGGTCAGAGCCTGCGCGAGAGCGGGGAGGGGAAGGCTAGGTACACGTGCCCACACAGACCGGGCGGCGGGAACACGTCTCCAGGCACACAACGCGGGGTCGCGAGGGCCAGGCAAGCCCTCGCTCCTCAACGCCCAGACAGGCGGGAGCTGGCGGCATGGCACTCAGGCAAAAGCACGACCCCGGGCCCCAGAACGCACAGCACAGAGGCGCGCCGAGCCCGCCGCCGACGCACTGCCACCCCACCGCCCCACACGCGCGCGTGGCTGCCATCAGACAAATGCCTCAGAGTCATCAGCCGGCGGCGCGGGTCCCCCCAGCGCCGCCTCTGACTCGTCATCTTCTGGTCCTCCCCTGGCGGGCGTGCATCTCTCCCCATATCTCCCCATGTCTCCCCATATCTCTTCATAGCTCCCCGTCTCTCTAGCGCCGCGCCGCGCGGGTGCGACAGAGCGCGACGCGCTGCAGGGTACCCGCCCCTCTTCCGCCACACAGCCGGGCAGCCGACGCGCGGTGTTTAAGGTGATCTGGCCATGGCCGGCGGTGTCCAAGGCGGCGTGGCCATTGCCGGCACTCGGGCAGCTGATGTGTGGTGTCCAAGGTGATTTGGCCATGGCCGGCACTCGGGTGTCGCTTGCCATCTCTTGCCATCTAGCTGCGCGCGCCGTGGCGGAGGACGGTCGCCTCCATCCGCTGGCCGACCTCGGGCGCAAAGACGAGCAGCCGCACCTGCCACCCGAGGGCCACCCGTCTCGGATTTGAGAGAAGGAGAGAAGGAGTGGCCACAGGGTGGCAGAGGCACTGGAGCCGGCGCCTCGATGGGCACAAACACAACGGGCGCATCGGAGGAGATGACGGCGAGGTCGCTCTTGATGGCCAGCCGGTCAAACATCAGCGCCACCCCGCCCAGGGACGTGTTGTACCTGCAGCAAGCACCCGCGCCGGTCAGGGGTGGCCGGCAGGGAGAGCCGCAGAGCGTCTCGCGCCGGAGCATCGAGTTCCCGAGCTGCTCGCCGATGCCAGCTCGCACGTCGGCGAGGTGGGCCGGGCTGAGCTGCATGGAGAACTTGCAGTGGATCCACTTGAGCGAGGAAGAAGCCTCGCTGGGCGCAGGCATGTGGGGCCCAACAGTACCGCACGGCGTCGTGCCGTAGAAAGGGTGATGTACCAGTGTTAGTGCCAGGTGCGCGCCACCCGTGCCCAGAAGAGAAAGAAAGAAAAGGCACGCGCTATAGTCCCGTGCCCAGTGTAGTGCGTAGAATTTGTAAAATTCTTTTTCCACCCGGTGGCTTGAGAGGACATGTCTCACCGGGGAGGCCTCCCTACCTCGCTCGCTCGCACGCGAGGCAGCAGAGACGAAGGTATCGTGAGCGTGCATCTCTGGGAGTGGTTCCAGCTCGGGTACGCCGTAGTCATCACAGCGCGCCACGCGAGCGTACACCAGCTTTAAGACGTACACCAGCTTTAGCGCCGCCGCCACCGCTGTGCACTTTGACCTGTTTGGCGAGCGGCCCGTGGACGGACGGAGCACGAGATCCGCTTGGCAGGGAAGGGCACAGGGCAGGCAGCCGCGAGCGGCAAGTGGCGTCGGCGACGCAGCGAGGACACGATGGTGACGCCCACAGCGCAGCGTGCGCGGCAGCAGCGCCGCCGGCGGCCCCACGCCGCATCAGCGGCGCTCTGAGTCAGTCAGCCTGCGCTCGCTGCACAGCCTGTCGAACAGCCTGCTGAGCACGCTCCCGACGAGCGGCGCGCTATGCGGGCCCGCCGCAGGCGACGCGGGCGGCGAGCCGACGTGCGTGTCGCAGTCGTAGGCAGCGCTGGCGAAGCCAAGGGAACCCGCCGAAAGGAAATAAAAGAAAATATCCGCGAATCGACCTAGGTAGTGGCCGACCTCTTCGCGGCGCGGGTGCACAAGAGCATACATGGCCTCCCTGCGCGCCGAGCCCTGCGAGGCGCCGACGGTGCGTGCGCAGCGGCTGCACCGGACGCTGCAGGACGCCATCTCGGAGGAGGAGGGGGCGGCGGCCGAGCTCGAGCGTGCCGAGGCGGTGCTCCGGCGGGCGGCGGCGAGGGCCAAGGCGAGCCGGACGGCGCTCGCCGAGCGGCTCGACGAGCTGGCCAGCAGGCCGCTGACGGTGACCGTGCTGGAGAAGACGCTCATCGGCGTCACCGTCAACGCACTCCGCAAGCACGCGACGCCGGCCATCGCCGCCAAGAGTGAGCGGCTCGTGCGCGGCTGGAAGACGCTCGTGGAGGGGAGCAAAACGTGGGGCACGCTGGCGACGGGCGGCGCTGCGCCGGCCGGCGCGGCGTCCTCCTCGAGGGCCGAGGCGCTCGCCGACCGCGTCCTCGACGAGGTGCGCGACGAGGACGGCCGCGTCGAGCGGCGGCGAGCGCACCCCGACTCGCTCGAGGACGCGCTGGCGCTGCGCGAGGCGCGAGAGGTGGCGGCTGCCCCCGCCGCGCGCCCGCCGCCCGCCGCGCCGCCCGCCGCCGGCTCACTGCGCCCTCCCGCGGCGACCACAGGCGGAGCGGATGTGGGAGGAGCGGATGGGCGGCGGAGGCAGCGGCGGGGGAGGCGGGGGAGGCGGCGGCGGCCGCGGCGACGGGCGCGACGAGGCGGCTCGGCGGGCGGCGGCCGAGCGGCTGCGCGAGCGCTACCGCTCGATCGAAGAGGCGAAGCGCAGCCGCGAGATTGTCGTCGAGGGCGGCCCCGCGAGGCCGGGCAAGCAGCCGCGCACGGCGGCGGGCGGCCGCCCCAACCTTGTGCAGCACAAGAGGGCGGCGGGCGGCGGCGGGCCTCTGGCCGCGCAGCGGCCGCCGGCGGCCGCGGCGGCCGCGCGGAGGCCAAACGGCGTGCTGTCCAAGCTCAAGCAGCAGGCGCACAAGGTGCGGCAATGAGCACCCTCAACAAGGCGCTAGGCGAGAGAGGGGTCCCGTCTCGCCCGGCCAGAGAGAGCGAGCGAGGTCTGGGCGTGGAGCCCGGCTTTTGGGAGGAGCAGGAGCGCCCCGGTCCCACGGCCCGTCGCGCCGTAAGCGGGATGATTGGACCCACGGCGGCGCGGCACCCCGTGATTTGGTCCGTATTGTGGCGCGCGCAGGCACTTGGAGCACTTGACTCGCCCTTGGAGCGGCCGACTACACGGTGAGCCATACGGACCTTGCAGAAACCTTTTCCTTCTCAGCAGGGCTACACAATGACCCTATAGTGTGGGGGTGTTTCTGGCGAGTTGTGATGAGTAGGATTAGACTAGCCTAGTAGCCCACTAGCCAATGGTATTTTGAAGTTCATATATGAAAACTAGCTGCGGGGCTCGCTAAACGCTCGCCGAGCTCCATGCTGCGCTGCAACACCACCTCCTCACTAATCGTCAGGGGCGCGGAGAGCGCAGTGCACTGCGGTGAGGCTGCGCAGCGGGGGCTCACCCCCTGCACCGCGCTCAGCGGCGCAGGGGAGGGCGGTCGGTGGCGGCGGCGGCGAGGCGCGAGGCGGTGGCGGCGGTGGTGCGGGCGGCGGGATGACAGGGGAGGCGGCGGGATTGACAGGGGAGGCGGCGGCCACGAGCGGAGCGGCGCGAGAAGGGGGGGGGGGGGCGGCGAGGCGCCGGTGAGCGAGGCGCCCGCGCCATCAGAGGGACGCGCCGCTGCGAGATGGAGGGCGGCGGTGACGGAGGCGAGGCGCGAGGCGGCGGCGGCGGCGGCGGCGGCGGCGGGTCTCGGTGAGCGGCGGCGGGAGGAGGAGCAGAGGCGGCGGGAGGAGGAGCAGCGGCGGCGCTCGCTCGCTGTTGACGGGAGCGCTTTTGAGCCTGGGAGCCCATGCCACTGCGACCGGCGTGCCCGGGAACGGAGATCGCGCGCGCGCCGCCACTCACGACGCGCGCGCGATCTTCGCGGAGTCGGGTCCCCAGAGGGAAGCGGTCTTCTCGGCCGACGTCCAGCGGCGCGCAAGGAAGCAGGCGCAGCGGAGGCGGCCTAGCACCGGCTCGGCGCCGGGCGGTTGCGCTGCCCGCGAGCCGCGTCCTGAGCCTCGGCAGCGCGCTGCGCGGCGCGGCGCTCGCGCTGCTGCGGTGCCGAGAGCGGCATGATGGTTCGCCAGCTGAAGCTCGAGACTCCTCGGGTCCGCGAGTTCCTCCGGTCACGCGATAAACCGCGGACAACGCGAGGCCCTTATATCTTTACTAGCTGAGGGGCTCGCTAAACGCTCGCCGAGCCCCATGCTGTGCAACACCACCTCCTCACTAATCGTCAGGGGCGCGTGAGAGCGCAGTGCACTGCGGTGAGGCTGCGCAGCGGGGGCTCGCCCCCTGCACCGCGCTCAGCGGCACAGGGGAGGGCGGTCGGTGGCGGCGGCGGCGAGGCGCGAGGCGGTGGCGGCGGTGGTGCGGGCGGCGGGATGACAGGGGAGGCGGCGGGATTGACAGGGGAGGCGGCGGCCACGAGCGGAGCGGCGCAAGAAGGGGGGGGGGCGGCGGCGAGGCGCCGGTGAGCGAGGCGCCCGCGCCATCAGAGGGACGCGCCGCTGCGAGATGGAGGGCGGCGGTGACGGAGGCGAGGCGCGAGGCGGCGGCGGCGGCGGCGGCGGCGGCGGCGGCGAACGGCGGCACCGAGTCTCGGTGAGCGGCGGCGGGAGGAGGAGCAGCGGCGGCGCTCGCTCGCTGTTGGCGGGAGCGCTTTTGAGCCTGGGAGCCCATGCCACTGCGACCGGCGTGCCCGGGAACGGAGATCGCGCGCGCGCCGCCACTCACGACGCGCGCGCGATCTTCGCGGAGTCGGGTCCCCAGAGGGAAGCGGTCTTCTCGGCCGACGTCCAGCGGCGCGCAAGGAAGCAGGCGCAGCGGAGGCGGCCTAGCACCGGCTCGGCGCCGGGCGGTTGCGCTGCCCGCGAGCCGCGTCCTGAGCCTCGGCAGCGCGCTTCGCGGCGCGGCGCTCGCGCTGCTTCTGTGCCGAGAGCGGCATGATGTCTCGCCAGCTGAAGCTCGAGACTCCTCGGTATCGCGAATTCCGCAGGTCACGGGATAAGCGGCGGACGACGCGAGGCCCATATATCTTTAGAGATCCAACTTGCCTTATGTGCACGTCTCCGCGGCGGCGGCCCGGAGGCGGCCCGGCGGAGCGGTCAGAGCAGCACTGCGCCGGCCGGCGATCGACCCTCGACTATACCACGGGCTCTATTGAATGGCCTCAAGGTGCTCTCTAGGGCTGCCCTATTCCGCTCGCCCGGCTACGTCGCTGAGCTTCGAAGGAAAAGGTTTCGCTCGGCACGGCGTCGGAGAGCAAACTTCGACGTTCGTCCAATAGTGGAAGCTGGACGCACGTAGGCAAGTGGCCCATGACCAGGCGGGCTGCTGCTCATAATCTGGGCCGTCGGCGCTCGCTCTCGCGCTCTTCATAACGGCTTTGCCCCCTCCCTCCCGCGCCGACGTTGGGCAGCCTGACCACGACAACGCCAGTGCCGCTGGCCTGCAACTCGAGGCGCCTTTGAATGAGCACGAGCCGGTGCGCGGCGGCGGCGCGGGTGATGCAGCCCAAGGTGACGGCGACGGCGGAGGGGGCGGCGGCGGCGGCGGAGGAGGCGGCAGCGGCGGCGATGGCCGCGGGGTCGGCCCGCCCGCCTTTGCTGCTGGTGCTGTGGGCATCATCACAGCTCAGCGGCGGTGTGCGACCAGGGCCAGTGGTAGACTTTCGACGCGGTGAGGCTGCTCTCTGAGCGATGACACTAGCAGGAGCATCATGTGTGTCATCGGAGTCACTTGTATTACGATACCACCACGCCGCCACGCTCGCAAGGGCCGCCTAAGCGCCTAAGCACCCTAAGCACCCCCCGCTTAGGCCGCTTAGGCGCTTAGGCGAGTGACGGCCGGCTGCCAGGGGCCTGGCGTGCCTCCGCCGTGGGCGGGAGAGCCACTCTGCAAGTGGTGTGCGAGCGTGTAGCCTTGAGCGTGCAGTCGGCCGAGCACTTGGAGAGTGCAGTCATTAACCTCACACCCAGCGGGGAGCTAAGAAGCCTTAGGGGACCCCTAGGGTTCTGAGGGCCGGATTTTTTAAGACCTTTTAAGAAACGAGGAGGTTTGGGGGCTTAACTTGCCATTTAAGAGATTGCAGGCACGGGGGGTCCCTCTTTTAAGACCGTTTAAGAAAATCGGCCTCGCCGGCACGCGTCGCTGGGTTCCGCGCCGTTTTCTCCAATACTGCCGTTATTAGGCCCGCAGAAGCCATACTCGCATAGGGGACGCGTGCTAGCTGACTGTAGCCAGCTTCCCGGCCTCCGGCGTCTACCGGGAGCCTCCCGGACCATCGACCTCGGGAGCTCTCCCGCACCGTTTAAGCGTTTAAGACCGTTTAAGGAATTGGCGGCCCAGCAGCTCTTAAAACTTGCCATGGCAAGTTTTAAGCCGTTTAAGCCGCAGGCGCCCCAGGGCCCACCCTTTTAAGCCTAGGGGTCCCCTAAGTAAGAAGCGCACCCAGCGGGCCGGATGCTCGGGGGCGGGCTACGGGCAAGAGAGCCCTGAGACCCCTAGGTCGAACCCCTAGGGGGGTGCGCCCGGTCGCAGGCGGCAGGGGAAAGGCAAAGGGGGCCGTAAAGGCGTAAAGTAAACTCTAAACAGAAAACACGGCTGCACACGCGGGCGGTCTCGCTCGAGGGTTGCGGTGCTTGGTCTGCGCTTTGGGTTTCCCCCAGCGGCGGAGCGCCCCCTCTACTAGGAGTGCGGGTGGGGAGGCCCTAAAACGGCGGGAGGGGTGGGGAGGTGCGGGGGTGCCGCTGCGTGGGGGTGTCGTCTGTCGAGGGGTCGGGAGGGCGAGGGAGGCGAGACACGGCGAGAGCCGAGACCGAGAGTGCGGACCGTGACCTAAAGGGAAAGCTTCCTAGGACCCTCAGAGTTGACCAGGGGTTGTGCGCTGAGCCCTCCTGCTCGGCTCCAGCCAGTAGACAAGTCGTGTCATCAACAGAGTAGAGAAGGATCTGACCTCGGGGCCGATGTGACCAAGCGCTGGTGGCGTGGTTTTACCTCACACCCATGGTCTCACAGTGTGCCGGCAGTCGCCGAGCTCACACAAGCCGCAGAACAAGTGACTGAGGGCCACCGAAGTCGCCGTCGAGGTTCGCTGCGCGCGGCGCAGCGGGTCAGGGACACCATCACACCGACGAGTGCGTTGGACTTTTCACTCCGGACAAAGACGGCCACACACACACACGCACACGAGCTGCGGTCGTGTGGCCGTCATAGCGGCGAGGCGCGGGATGTCTGTGGCGAAGTGGGTCGCGTCCCTGGATTTCCTCAACTCACGGTCCTTCGCCCGTGAGGGCTGGCCAAAGGCGAGGCGTAGGAGGGCTCGTGAGGGCTTGGGAGGGGTGGAGAGCTCGGAGGGGTCGGAGGGCTCGGAGGGCAGAGAGGCACGAGGGTGGCGCTGGTGGGCGAGTGAGGGCTCGGTCGGGAAGGCTCACAAGGGATGGAGTGCTCGGAGGGCTCGCGAGGGGCGTAGGGGCGAGCCGCCGAGCCGGGCTCAGGGGGCTCGGAGGAATGCGCGTGGCGAGCTCGCGGAGCACTCGAGCACTTGTGAGCCTGCGAGACAGAGCGATCGAGCGCTCACTAGCGCAACAGTGGTGCCTTTGTGCCTTCCGAGCCCTCGGACCCTTCGGAGCTCTCGAGCTCTCCAAAGCTCTCAAGAGCTCTCGAGCGCTTCGACTTTGGGCAG